AGTCATCGTCTCCGTCAAGGACGCCGTGCCTACCATCTTCTGCGGCAAGATCAAGGGCCTGTCGGGGGTCTCCACCAAAAACTTTTCCTTCAAAAGGGACCTGCCCCAGGACTCGGTGCTGCAGTGCTATGACGTGAAGAGCCCGCCCGAGCCCCGGGACAGCGCCGAGGCCCTCAGGAAACCCGTCAAAAACAGGAGCGTAAAGCTAAAGAAAATGAACTCGCCGGAGATACATATTCTTCCAATCAAGAAGCAACGGCTTGCTGCCTTTTTTCCAAGAAAGTAAATTATGGGTTTTTAGAGTTTTAAGATTATTATGAGAAGAAGAAGAAAAAAAAAATAAAAAAAAAAAGATGCACTTGGTTTTAAACTCATTTAAAACTTTAAACTATCTTTGTAAGTTATTTTTGGGGGAAGGGGGAGAGGATCGGCTGTAGAGTCCCTATAAGCTGGGTTGTGGTTTGGTTTTTTTTTTTTTTCTTTTTTTTGTTATCGAATTTTGACTTTTCATGGGAAACTGAATAAAAAGCAACCTATTTTTCAAGCAGATTGCACATTTTGCAGCTTTAATGGAGTAATGGATGAGTCAGAGGGGTAAGAGCTATTTTCACTGCCATGAAGTGCTTTGATGATGTAATTCTTCATAACGGTCAGAATGGAAATTTCAAAATAAATGTTTGTACGTGCTAATTGGTTGCGGCATTTTTTGTCATTTCCGAATTGCTTTCAGTGTATGGAGGTTTGGCAAAAAGTCTATAAATTGTAAGGCACCGCAACCGGTTTGTGATGAGCCTAAAATGTTCAGGAAAAAAAAAAAAAAAACCAAGCTAAGAAAAATCACATTGTCCCGCAGCCCTGTTGGAGAGCACACCGCAACAGCCACTAACAATGCGCCCAAACCAGCTTCCGGAGGAACGAGAGCAAGCGAGCGGTACAGCCCGGTGCGCACTTAACGCCGGCTTCATTGTGAGAGACCCATGGGAATCCATCTTAAAGTATTAAGTAGTAATAGTAGCAGTCATCTAAAAAGCCTAAAAAAGCCTAAAAGTCAGGGGAATTCGGTTGCCAGGGGCGGGAGTGGAAGGCAAAGTCGCATAATTTCTCCCAGCCTGAGTACAGATACACAGAAAAGTTGTTTGTTGTTAGTTTTCTAAGTTTCTTTGGTGGCTGAAATCGATGCACATGGAAGAGCAGAACTGTGTAACTTTTATCACTGGGCCATGTACAAGCTGCCCACACCAATGGAGAAATGCGAATGTACAATTAAAATAAAAGTTCTGTTAGGTTATGGCTTTGCACTTCTGTATGGGAATGAGCTGGAGGTGCACTGCCGTACGCCAGCTCTTCAGTTCACACGGCTTGCTTGTAAAAACACATCCTGACGGAAGGACGGACGTGAGAGCAGGAGAACAATTTTTGGTGAGCGCTGCCTTTTTGCGGCTATAGCTGTTAAACAGAAAACCTGGTTTTTTGCCATTATTTCAAATGACGTGTTCCCAGCACCGCGCTGGTCCTGCCCAAATAAAAAAAAAGCCATCGTAAACCCATCAGCTGGACACCGTCGCACGCTAACTGTGCCTTCCTTTACCTCGCCGCAGCCAAGCTACTTCCAAGACTCCTCTTGGACAGTTTTGGGAAGGTATTTTGCAATGAGAAGTTGCCCAAAGAAGCGGCTTCAGGGGTAGATGCCTAATCACAGCCTTAGGCACCGGTGTCATGCTGAAATCCGTTGAAACGCCTGATGCCAGCAGGCACCAATTCACGATTCAGAAAATGCACCTACATGAGGAGGTTAGGGAAGGCATGAAGTTTCTCTTCTCCTGGGCTGAAGGATTGCTGCCCTCTTGCTTAATATGAAAATGGAGAAGTTTTCACGTAAATGTAGCATCAAATTCTGTCAAACTCTTGCTTTTTAAGTATTTTATTTTTCCCAAAGCTGGCATTAACTGACAATGTCGAGAAGAGCATAAAGTGGTGATGGATTCATTAATGTTTAGTCATCTGACTGTAGTTCTTTTTAATATTTTTTTTCTTGACTGAAAATACTCTGCTACTTTGTTTTGCTCCTTCCAAGAAACTGTGCTGATGAAATGTTTCATCTTCTGCTTACTGCAGTGCAGCGGCTTGGGATTTTGACATCCCTTGCGACAGCCATCCCAGTTCTCTCTGCCCCACTCCGTTTCAGGCTGGGCCCATTCCAGAGCATCAAAAGCCTTCTGAAAAATGTAGTTTTTCCCCAGGGCTACACCAGATTATTTAAAAAGGAGGAGGTCACAGCATTAGCTGCTGTCATTTTTATTTCGCAGTCGACAGAAGCAAGTTCAAAAGTTTCTGGGGTTGCTTTTTTGGGTTTGGTTTTTTTTTGTTTTTTTGTGCTTCTCACACTGGTGGCTACATCTGCAGGGCCGACCGCTCTGACCCCTGCAACCCTGGTGTGAGCATCGCCCCCCGCAGCATCCTCAGCAGGGGGAGGGAGGGCGTCCTGCTGCTGCGCAGCCCTCCCCGCCGGCCACGGGGCACCTGCTCCAGGTGCTGAGGTTTTCCCTCCTCTCCTTTGCAGGCCTTCACCGGGAGCTAGTGGTGCTCCCAGGTTCACTTCAAGCCCCGGGCTACCACCCGGCCCACTCTGCACACGGTGGTCTGGTTTAACTGAATTTAGACCACAAGCCCCGACAACAAATTAGGCTAAATTAGCTTTATGCCATTAGAAACCCATACTGTCAAAACACCCAGTGCCTACAGGCAACTAACTCAGTTTAAAGCCAACTGGTACCGGCTGCAAAGGCAGAAACCATCCTAGCCTCCCCCTCTGCCCCCCAGGCCCAGCCCGCCAGCTTTGCGGGGCCATTTCCAGAAGGAGCGCTCCCTGCCACCGCTGGTCACTACCAGTGTCCCCGTTGCCAGAGGGTGACCCAGGCGGGAGCCACCCCACTAGAAGTGGCTGGGCAGAGCTCATCAGACTGGGCTCACCCACCCCACCGCCTGCCTTTCCCATTGCTTAAACAGCAACGGCAGGGGGGATATTCTCAACAGCCGCTTTCCGGGAAAGCTTAGGGCAGCTCCCGCGCCTTCCCCTGCCACCCGTTCATGCAACCCCATCCTTCAAGGCTGGGCCACGGGAAGAGCAGCCACGCACCAGCACCTCTCCTGATGCTTAACTCTGCTGGGCAAACGACACTAAGTGGGGACCTTTGCCTCCCACCATCCCTCGTGTGTGAAGCACGAGTCTTAACATCGCATCAGCACGGGGGAGAAGCGGCCACGGAACAAGGTACTTAATTACACCAAGATTGAGCACTTCCACCTCCTCCTCCTCCTCTCCTCTAGCAGCAATTACAGATTTTGTATATTGGGCCATTAATTTTCTACAGGGCTACGTTTTAACTGCTTCTGAAACTTCTGTACGAGGAGAAGGACGCAGAGCTGCACTCGTGATATATGGAGCTTCCATTTCTGGTGGCTGTTAATGGAGACATTAATACCTCTTGTGAAGTTGAAGGGAAAGTCATTAAGCCATAATGGTAGCAGGAAGATGTTTTACAATGATGGGTATACGCAAGGTAGAGACAGAGGAGCAGTGCGGACCCTCAAGGGCACCCCTTGTTGGCTCCAAGCTTCCTTCGACTTGGCCTTTGGCTGGGGGCTTTTATTAGAGGGTCGGAGAGAGGGGTGGTGGTGGTGGGGGGGTACTTTCCCCTTGTCTCTCTTCTCTCCTCCATCAGGCAGGGGCTTCGCAGGAAGCCAGGCACTGAATCCAAGGGGGGGAGCAGGGCTGTGCGTCCTGGCTGAAGGCCATGGTTCGTGGCAGCCTCAGGGTTGGGAGAGCTCAGATGCACCAGCCTGGAGCTTTCCTCCGCCAGGCAGCTGGTCCCCTTCCCCTACGCTGCCCAGGGCACAGCCATGGGACCAGGAGTGCAGGTCTAAGGCTTTGGCACACGGAGTTAGCTGTTAGCGACAGAAATGCATCCAAAGGAAGAACGAGCAGCTTCTCAGCCAGAGAACTTAACCAGACCGGGTGGATTTCAGGCTTGAGAGAACTGAAAAGCAGCCAGGTAACAAGCAGACAATTATGAGCATGAGGAAAAGGTGGAGAACTGGGAGATGAAAGCAGGCGGTGGAAGCCGAGATAAGAGCCACCTCCAGGTCTGTTAGCATCGCACCTTTATTAAAGTTAGCAAGCAGCCAGCCAGAGACTGAAAGGGAGAAGCAAAGCTGCAGCCCTTGGCCACGAGCAGATGAGAGAGAGAGAAAAGGAAGGTGTTGGTGTCAGCTTCAAAGGCAAGGCTCCAGGGCCACTCGGCTTAGCGAGAGCGGGGAGAAAGGTGAGCACTGAGCACTGGGAGGGTGATGCTTTCTTGGGCTGAAGGCAGCCAAGCAGCGAGGGCGGGGGAGGCGGTACATCAAATCGCACACGGGCAGAGCACGCAAGGCAGCGTGGCCTTCCCGCTCCCACCCCGACACAGCAGGCGACGGGGAAGGGTGGCAGCGAACCCAGCCCGGCAGGAAGGGGAGGGGAAGGAGAACACCCAAAGGAGAAGATGCGTTTCTGTGCATCATGGGCCTGAAGTACCATGTGTGACCTAGGCTCTCCCACCACCCACGCTCCTATCCGATACTGAACTTGCCATGCCAACGTGTCTCCCAACCAGTGCCAACTTTTCTTTTTTAACCACTTCTACCCATTTGCTGCCCAGTGCCCCCAGAGCACCAGGATGATTACAGCACCTTGCACACCCTGGCAGAGGTTTAGCCCACAAGGGCTCACAAGGAGCAGCTTCACGTGCTTCTTGCATCTGAAAGCTTTGAGAGGAAACCAGCTGGCACAGAAGTGGCCACTGAGCACCAAAGGGGGCAATTTGGAGAAGTCTGTGCCCCTTCACTTGCACAGAGGCACCTCAGGACAGCGATCCGACAACAATAACCGACTCCACAGTCCTCATGAAGAATCTCAGACAATGAAAACAGCATAAAACAACATTGCATAATATCCTGGTGCCAGATGTTTTAGTTTCTTTTTGTGCTCAAGTTTATAAAAACATGCTGAAGGGCTCAGTCAAAGACCTTGTTTTCCTCTGGCTGGGATCGGTTCCTGCCTTCCCAAAGGCAGCCTGTCTGCCACCGCAACATTAATGATGTTCATTTGTGCAATTTGCTTTTCTCACTCACCTTTCACTTTCTTCCCAATGCTTCCCCCTCCTCTTATTTAAAGTTGCATTTCTCTTAGACTATACCACATACTCTTAATGCTGAAGTTTGCAATTCAGAGCGCTCTGGGGCAGTCCTACA